TGGCGACGTCGGTAGTGGAGCCGACGTAGAGTAGGTCATCGACGTAGACGATGAGTAGGACGAAGTCCCCCCCCTTTTGTAGTCGGTACATGCCTTGGTCACGCGGCAGCTGCAAAAACCAATCCTTACGAGGCGGTCGTGAAGGTGCTGCTGCCAGAGCCGCGGGGCTTGTTTAATTCCGTAGAGGGATTATGCCAGCTGGCACACTTTTGTGGGGTCATCGATGAATCCGTAGGGCTGCTCGACGAAGATTTCGGCGTCCACAGGTGCGTACAGGAAGGCGTTGGCGACATCGATCTGGCACAGTGGCAGCTTTTTTGTGGCCGCGACGGCAAGCAGAATGCGCAGAGAGGTATGTCGGGAGACTGGGGCGAATGTCTCCGTGTAGTCGGTTCCGTATCGTTGGTCGAATCCTCGTACGACCCAGTGAGCTTTGAAGCGGTCGATGGAGCCATCCGCATTAGTCTTGATGCGGTACACCCATTTCCCCGAGAGCACATTCTTCCCGTTGGTTTTTGTTGCAGGTACCAGCTTCCACATATTTCGGTCTTGCAGGGCCTTCAGTTATTTTTCCATTGCTTCCTTCCATTTCGCCTTGTGTTCCCCCCCAAGAGCCTGCGACAGAGTCGTTGGCTCTTGCGGCGACGGCGGCGGCGGGCTGTGGACGGCGACCGAGAGTCCAAGTATCTGCTGGCCCGTGGGTGTGTGTCGAGGGGAATTGGCATTCTCGGGATAAGCTGCTTCGTCACCATCTTCGGGGTCAGGTAAGAAGTTGGGTTTGATGCGTTCATAGATATTTGTGTCGACCGATTGAGGTGTAGTGTAACCCTGGTCAGTGAAGTGGTAATAGGTGTCGAGGTTGTTACTATCGAGAGGATTGTCATCATCGAGTGGAACGGGCACGGAGCAGTAAGGGAGTGGTCCGGCAGCTTCCGAGGCTTCAGGTACGTCTTCTTCTGCTGCGTCAGCTTCGGCAGCACGGTCGGCGAAGGACCGATGGCCCTCGAAGCCGTCGGTGGGGTCGTCTGTGTTGGCGATGTTGTCCAGGTAATATTGCAGCGTCGGTCGCTCGTAGAAAATCGCATCACGTGAGGCCACTGTGGTTTTGTCCTGAATGTCGAGAAGTTTCCATGCTTGGAAATGTTTTGCGATGCCGAGGTGTAGTCCCCATCGTGCTCGTTGAGAGAATCATCCTGCTCGGGTTGTGTGGGGTCTTTACTGTACCATACAGCCGAAGACTCGAAGTAATTTTGTGCTGCCCTGTTTTCCTATCCACAGCAGGTTCGGTGATGCGTTGTTGGGAAGTGACGTCGAGGACAGCAAATTGTGCAGGTGGACTGCATGCGTCATCGCGTCAGTCCAAAGCGTGCTGGGCAGTCTCATCCCTAGGAGCAGCTTTCGCATCGTCGTCTGCAAGGTTCTGTTCATCCTCTTTGCGACCCCCTGCTGCTGGTGAGCGTAGGGCAGAGACACGAGGTGTCTGATGCCTCTTTCTGCCAAGTAGTTCCTGAATCGTTGTGACTGGTACTCCAGTGCCCTGTCTGACTGGAAACTCTTGAGTTGCGAGCCCGATTCTCGTTCAGCAATGGGGAGCCACGTCGTGAAGGCTTCGAATGCTTGATCTCGTGTCTTGAGGTTATAGTGCCAGACATATCGTGTTGCTGCGTCGATGAACGTGATGACATAGTTGTACTCTGCTTCACTGTCGTCTCGAAGCACATTTAAAATGTCGCTGTAGACTTTTTCCATCAGTGCGTATGCAGGTGCGCTTGGATTGTGGTGCAACGGGAAAGGTTGGTAGGGAAGATCAGCTTCAGGACACGTGAAGCATCGTGCGCGGGGTCGTCGAAGCTCCTGGCCGCTCGTTGTGAGAAGAGCGTCCTTTTCTAATACTCCAGCTTGTATGGTAGTACTGTGCTGTTTGCAGGGTGCCCGAGGCGTTGATGCCAGATATCGTCGGGAGGGCGATGGCCGGGTGAGCGCTGGTACATGTCGGCGTTGGAGAAGAATGCGACGACCGTGGTGAGGCTGCGGCAGACTCCTCGGGTGATGGGCATGAGTTGATCTGCTTAGGATGGCGGTCCTCGGATTGCTGGTGATGGCATACGGCTGGGTCCTGCTGCTGCTACGGTTGGAGAAGGGATGTTTGCTGGTACTTGTCATTCTTGGCTGATGACAACTAATGCCCGTGTTCGTTCTGCTGCAGGGATGGTGTTGGTGTGCCAGAAGCCATCTAGGGTAAAGGCGGGGTCAAGATCCGGCGGGTGCGTCCAGGCGGCAAACGACACGATGCCATCGCTATCGGCCGTACCGCGGTCGGGGACGAAATCCAGCACGAAAACGCCCGACTTCAGGAGAGCGCGACCCATGAAGAGGCCGCCCTTCCCGTGGTAGAGACGAAACTCGTTGTCGTCCGAATTGCATTCTAGGTGAATACCCTTCGCCATTTACTAGCGTACGCTTAGTAGATTGTATCCCAAGTTATCGACGATGAGAACCTTGTTAAGTTGTAGTATGACGTTTGTCTCCATTGACTGAAGTTCAACGACGCCTTGTCTGTTTGTTTTCACGTTCTCGTTGTTGGCGACGGTGATGATGACATCGCAGTTGAGGCGTCGCTCTCGTTGCACGAAGCGCCCGGAAGAACACATATGTTGGCCGCAGCAGCTGTCCAAGAACCAGGTGTTTCGCCCGGTGGGTTCGGCGTTGGCGACTGCAGCGTACGTCGGGTTGACCTGGAGACCTTGTGAGCGTGGCGGTGGCAGTTCTTCTTCGTCTGGAGCGTAAGTGGGTGGTGATCTGGGTGTGCAGTTGTCGATATGCACCATGCAGTTAATGATATTCGGTGCGCCATGTGCAGGTGTAGAGGAGCGACTCGGCGGATTCTCTTGAGTGGAGGCGACTTGCGGGTCTGCTGGACGATAAACTCGAGGGCATGTGCAGTCAACTTTGGAGTGCCTGGATGTCTGACAGTTGTGGAAGAACGGCGGCACGATGGTGAGTCCTCTGGTGTCGTGTCGGGTGTGCTTATCACGTCGGTTGTAGTTATTGTCGTTTCTTCGATGAGTATAGAAGACTAATGGCTGCTGCTTGTTCCGTGGTTGTCTTTCTTCAAACAGGTCCATCTCCTGTTGTTCGGCATGAAGCTCGGCGCAGAGGTGCATCTCAGAAATTCGTCCGTGGGCGCGAAGAAGCGAGTTGGTGGTTGTCCATTCTGGCCCGAGCCCGGTGAGGACAAGTGTCACGAAGCTTTCTTCAGTGATTGTTCCTCCGCACCGAAGCAAGCGGTCGCGGAATGTTTGACAGCGACTCATATACTGCATCGCCTTTTCCCCGGTCTTCATTTGTATTGTGGTCAACTGCTGCGTGAGTCTGCTTTGTGTCACGTTGTCGTTTGCTTGATAGAGGTACTTCAGATGATGCCAGGCTAGCTCCGCGGAGTTTCCGTAGCTCCGATACGTTTTGATGCTCTGTTGCTCTTGTGGTGACAGGTTCCGCAGGAGAACTGTGTACATCAGCAGCGACTGATAAGTGAAGATTTCCTGCTCCTTTGCAGTGCCATTGCTTGGAAATGGCAAGGACCCGCTGAAGTATCCCAAGAGATGCGCAGCCTCCATCAGCAGCTCGAACTCAAAACTCCAGGTAAAGAAGTCGTGCCTGTTGAATGGTGAAGATGTCTGCAGTTTGATCACATGTGAAAACTGCGCCTGGAGACTCAATATCTCGTTTGGTGTCTGTTGTGATGCAGCTGCTGTTGGTTGAGCACGGGGCGGCATGAACTCGAACGTCCCCGGTGAAGAGTGATAAGGCGCAAAGGTAGGTGCCTGATTGTGCCGCCCGAATGATGAGTTGTCGAGGCTCATTGGTGCTAATCCCATATTTCCCCCGTTGCTCTGTGTTGAATGCGCAGGTGTCCTTGTCTGCTGCTGCTGGTCAAAGTGCGACATGAAGCTGAAAAACCTTTCCATAAGGTTCGGGTCCACGCTTGAAGAGGGTGAAGGGGTCACCATTTCTGGTACCCTCTTTGTTGTTTCTTGAGCAGCGCCGGTCTCAGTTTGTAGTCCTGAAGTGTGTAGTCCAGAGTTGCCGGATTGAGTGTTTTGGGCGCTGGGTGAGCCCGTAGAAGTCTTCTTGCCCTTGTTGTCCATGACTTGTAATCGATGAAACTCTTGATGTGCTTGACTGTAGATAGAGCGTTGTTGCTGGGAGTTTGGTCTCTGACCAGCTCTCATACTATGTTGGGCTGAGAAAAAACCTTAGGATCTTTCCAGAGACAGTCCACTTGTACAAAATACTTGAGTAGTGCAGCGGAAGTGTTGAGTAGTTGAACCCTTGCACTAGTATGTGAGAGCAAGTGATTGATTAAAAGAAACAAGCATACAGGAATATATAGAGCTTAGGAAATGAAGCAGTTGTAGAATACAGTTGAAGAAACGGTTATCGAGTCGCACAGCGACTCGATCGTTTGTTCGGTTACCATCCTTGCAGTCGCAACGGTCGGTCGCAACCTCCGATTGCAACCCTTCGAGTCTCTTTGTCCTTTCGTGTTCTTTCGTCCAACCCCCCCGTGTAACCTCCGTTGACTCGCGTACTCGATACCACATTTCTTCGAGTGTAGTGTTACACTTCAGAAACTCTCAGGTCTTCGAGGTATTTCCAACATTTTAATCAAATCACTTGCTCTCATATACTAGTGCAAGGGTTCAACTACTCAACACTTCCGCTGCACTACTCAAGCGCTTTGTACAAGTGGGACTTGTACAACACAATGTGTTCTCACATTGTTTTGTACGAAAATATTTCCATTGTCAACATGATAGTGATTTTGTGTGATTTGCACTCAATATTGGACAAAATGTTTAGTTTCTCTTGAGCTCCTAGCGATATTTATTATCTATAAGGGAAACCAACCGCGGTACAAGCAGGTCGCTCTTAACCGAGATGAAGAGTAAACCAATATGGAGAATTTTCGCTGAAGGCCTTACCACTGTGACCAATCTTTCTGCTGGAGCAAGCGTTAGTGCCCGTTATTTGCGGGAACCGTCGTCTGATCCGCGCACTCCTGCTAATAGGATGCTACTACCAAGCGTCTGTGATAATGTCCTGGTCTAGTGTAGCATCTGAATCCTCGCTCCAGTCGTATCTTATTGTCAAATCGTCTAGACGTGCGACGTCGCTGCACTGTCACGTTCGGAACTGTAACTTATAGTAGGCTCCTCTTCCGTCAACCATCTCCTGCTGCTCCTGCTTCCGCCTTTCGCTGCTTCGCCACTCGACAGGCCGCTCAATTTCTCGCAGTCAGTTCTAGACGAGCCGTCCCGGTGCCATGTATTGGCTTCGTCTGCCAGTCCTTGGCGCTAGGAGGCTAGCAGTCGGGCTGGCCTTGTGGCTCGCCGTCACTTGCGTCGTCATTCGCGCGCATGTGAGTGATCCTGCCGCGATCACCGCCCGTGTTTGATCGCCGCAGCGAGTGCGACGTGCAGAGGATTGTCTGCCGGTTTTCACGGCAGAGCTGGTTCCTAGCAGCTTCCCGTCGTGTCCTCTTCCCCCTTGTTCCTCCTTGTTCCTCCTCTTTCCCTGGTGTTTCCGTCGGCGCTACTACTCCGCCGCGCGGCCTCTCATAAATCCTGTTGTGGGAGCTCTATTCCACCACCAAGACTACACCCTCTAATCAAATCCTAGATTTGGTCTCTGCTTCGATCTCAATTGCCGTGTCCCCCGCTTCAAACCCGCCGTCTCCTTCCAGTCTCTTTGTCCCCCGTGCCGCGTATTCAATCATCAACCTCTCTCTCTCTCTCTCTCTCTCTCTCTCTCTCTCTCTCTCTCTCTCTCTCTCTCTCTCTCTCTCTCTCTCTCTCTCTCTCTCTCTCTCTCTCTCTCTCTCCTCCTCCCTCCCTCCCTCCCTCCCTCCCTCCCTCCCCTCCCTCCCTCCCTCCCTCCCTCCCCTCCCTCCCTCCCTCCCTCCCTCCCTCCCTCCCTCCCTCCCTCCTCCCTCCCTCCCTCCCTCCCTCCCTCCCTCCCTCCCTCCCTCCCTCCCTCCCTCCCTCCCTCCCTCCCTCCCCCTCCCTCCCTCCCTCCCTCCCTCCCTCCCTCCCTCCCTCCCTCCCCTCCCTCCCTCCCTCCCTCCCTCCCTCCTCCCTCCCTCCCTCCCTCCCTCCCTCCCTCCCTCCCTCCCTCCCTCCCTCCCTCCCTCCCTCCCTCCCTCCCTCCCTCCCTCCCTCCCCTCCCTCCCTCCCTCCCTCCCTCCCTCCCTCCCTCCCTCCCTCCCTCCCCCCCCCCCCCCTCCCTCCCCTCCCTCCCTCCCTCCCTCCCTCCCTCCCCTCCCTCCCTCCCTCCCTCCCTCCCTCCCTCCCTCCCTCCCTCCCTCCCTCCCTCCCTCCCTCCCTCCCTCCCTCCCTCCCCTCCCTCCCTCCCCCTCCCTCCCTCCCTCCCTCCCCTCCCTCCCTCTCTCTCTCTCTCTCTCTCTCTCTCTCTCTCTCTCTCTCTCTCTCTCTCTCTCTCTCTCTCTCTCTCTCTCTCTCACACTTTCCCCCTCTGCGCGGGGTGCGCCACGCCAGTCCCACGCGGAGACGGGGCCCGGAATCCCGCACCCGTTCGACTTCGCGTTTCCGGACCACCTGTGCGGGTCGCTGCGGGAGACGTACATGGCCATCAACGACCGCGTGCGTGCCGCCTGCAAGGAAGAGGCGCAAGCAGCCGCCGCTGCCGGCACACCTGTCTCCGCCACTCCTGCTGCTGCCGGTTCGTCCGCTGCTGCTGCCCCTCCGTCCGCTGCTCCCCCCTCTGCCTCCCCTGCAGCTGCCACCACCCCTGTCTCGTCCGTCCCCTCGCGGTGCCGCACGCTGATCTTTGACTCGGGGCACGACGGGTTTGGCGACACGGTGTTCGGGATGGCGTCCACGTTCGCCGTGGCGCTTCTGGACGAGCGAGCCTTCCTCATGCGCCAGGAATGGCTGCCGTACGCCTTCGAACCCGCCACCTTCGACTGGCGCGTCACCGACGACATCCCCCTCTCCACCTACTCGCCGCAAATCACGGATGAGAACAATCCTCCGAACGCGTCGTACGCCCGGCTGAGCCTGTACAACAAAAACACGGATATAGAGCAATTCTTTAAGAAGCTGGAGAAGATATCGCATATCGGGGTGGTGTGGAACCGCGGGATTCTGTTCAATCTGCTGACGAAGGGGAGGGGCGCGTGGGCGGATCGGTTCAGAGGCGTCGGGCTGACCCCGCCGTACGCCTTCGCCTGCATCATGCGCTTCCTGCTGCGGTGGGTTCCTCCGGTGGGGGGTTGGCAGGGAGCGAGAGGACGGAAGAGGAGGAGTGAGAGGGATTAAGGCAGCCTTTTAAAGAGCAGGGTTTTTAAGTAACGGTACAGTTTCTGTCAGGCTGCCTGGTGCCGCACACCTCCCTCTTCCCCATTCTCTGTCTCTCTCTGACCTCCTCTTCTTCACTTTCCTGGCCCCGAATTCTCTCTCATGTAGTTCGTCCCTTCTTTTCTTACCTCTTCGTTGCCTTCTCACTTTCTCTCTCCTTGCTCCTGATCGTCTCCCCCCCTCCTATCCCCAGCCCCAAGCCGGAAGTATGGCAGCTAATGCGGGACATAGGGGGGCAGGTGCACCCTCCCCACAGCATCAGCATTGGCATTCACACGCGCGTGAGGGACCTCAAAGTATGGGAGCATTCCACCAAGATGGGTGTACCCAAGGTGCTCAACGCATCTGAAGTCGAGGAACTCTATATCGAGAACAAGAAGGCGTTCGAGTGTGCACAGGTGAGTGGGCAAGGGATGAGAGGAGGGAACAGGGAGGGGATGGGAAAGAAGGGGAGGCAGAGAGCAGGGCAGTGGGAGGGTAGTGCAATGGTTCCCAGGCTGTGCTCTTGTTGCCTTAATGTCATCTGACTTCCCTCAATGACTTCCCACGTTCTCCCTCCCGCTCTTCCCCCCATCTGTGTGCCCCTTGACTTTCTGCCGGTTTTTTTGTGTAATGTGTGCTGTATGATGTTTGTTGGTCTTGGCTATTTGACGTTTGCGTTTTCCGGATGCTTTACACGGGACACTCTGTATTTTTTGTTGATTACTGTTTCTTTGCTCTGTGCTGCGTGCTCTTTGCTGTCTGGTCTGTGCAATCGTTTTTTTTTTTCTGCCTGCTGCCTGCTGCCTGCTGCCCGCTCTGTGCTTCTCTGTGCCATCAGGAGTTGGAGCGGTGGTGGAGTCCATCCTCTCTGAAGATCAGGTGGTTCTTCATGTGCAACTCCGCTCAGCTTAAGACAACTGTTCACGATAAATTCCCCGACAAGGTACTCCTGTTAGCAGCTCAGCATTGTGCGATCTCTCTCCTTCTCTCCTCTCTCCTCTCTCCTCTCTCCTCTCTCCTCTCTCCTCTCTCCTCTCTCCTCTCTCCTCTCTCCACTCTCCTCTCTCCTCTCATGGCCCTGCTCCCACTTGTCCTCCCAAATTCTTCCATCTTTCCTTCCCTTTGTGCCCAGCCCCATTTTTCTCTCAGGCACAAAGCTGCCGGAGATAGACCCCTACCTTTTCTACGATCCATCATTGCCGATTGCCCGAAACTCGTCTACTTCCCCCCCTCCCCTTACCCGCTCCGCCCCCTCTGTAGGTGGTGGTCACGAGTTTTGTCCCGCGGCACGTGGCGATCAGCAAGGACCCCAACTCCAGCACGCACGCGGCGGACCCGGCGTGGTACCAGGAGACGGTGGCGGAGTGGCTGCTGCTGGCGTCCACGGACCTGCTGGTCATCCCCGAGTCGGGCTTCTCGCGCTCCGCAGTCATGTACTCCATGCGCCCGGGGGCCGTCTTCATGCCGCACAAGTGCACGCCCGATGCGCCCGTGCCCGTTACTGAGTTGGCTACTGCTGGCTGTGGAGTGTGATGCAACACGTTCAGGGTCTGTTGTAACACGGGTATGAAGTGTAGATGGTTTACTGCACTGCTTCGACATAGAACCCTGGCAGAACTTACATGTGTGTGCAGTGTGCACTCGCTGCTTTGTCTGTATGCCATGGGCCTTGTTGTATGATTGAAGTTGATTAGGGAGTGTTCCTAAACCTTGGCCTCGGACCAACGACCTGTTGTGGTAAATGAAGTTTTGCATTCCTGCAAGTTCCGTTTTTGGTGTAGTTAGCAGTATCGAGTTTCTCGGTAGGGAAATAGGTCCGAGTGATGACGTCATCAAAGCATCTCGGGTCTCGTGATGACGTCAGCATACCGCTTCAGTTACGCGAATAGGCGTAACGAGTCGTTTCAGTATCGCGAACAGTCGCGACCCTATAGTATGACGAATAGGTCGCATAGTGCGCAATTAGCCGAACAGGTACTTTCCGTAGAGCTATAAATCCTTGTAATGCCTTTCTGTTATTAACCTTGACTTTCCACAGAATTATGTGCTCAGGTTATTCAACCTTCGACTACCCACAAGTTCATGTGCTCAGGTTTACTCCTATAAGACTTCCGCTGCCTTACTAGTCTACCATTCCAGCAAAGATCCTTGGTTAAGTACTCATGGTTGTAGATTCTATACTTAGTCTCCTGCACCACATGTCAAATTCTTACATGTGTGTGCAGTGTGCACTCGCTGCTTTGTCTGTATGCCATGGGCCTTGTTGTATGATTGCAGGGTCTGTTGTAACACGGGTATGAAGTGTAGATGGTTTAATGCACTGCTTCGATATAGAACCGTAGTAGAACTTACATGTGTGTGCAGTGTGCACTCGCTGCTTTGTCTGTATGCCATGGGCCTTGTTGTATGACTGAAGTTGATCAGGAAATGTTCCTAAACCTTGGCCTCGGACCACCGACCTAGGTGATGCAAGGTGAGTCAAACGAGCACTGCAAGGTACCGTTTGACTCACGGAAAGTACGTAGGTCTAGTCTGACATGAGGAGATGGAGGGGTGAAGTGGGGTGGAGTGAGATGAGGTGATGTGTGGCAGGGGGAGGGGAGGCAAGGGGAGGAGTTGAGAAGGGGAGCGGCAGTGAGGACGGAGGTTGGGAAGAGAAGGGAGGGGGGATGAGGAAGGGGCAAGGAGGAAGGTGTCAAACATATTTTGTTTGTCTTAAAGGCTAGATAGGTGCATTTTCCTAGAGGGTACAACCCCTTAGACAAAACTAACCTGTTTGCTTCATTCTAGTCATTCATCTCATTCTGATGTGGTATCACGCTAGGTTAGGTTCCCACCCGCCCACCCGTGCTTCCACCTTAGGCCTAGTCCTAGCCGCCCCGTTAGCGCCCCGCTGGCCCCGTTAGCGCCACGCTGGCCCCGTTAGCGCCACGCTGGCCCCCCGCTGGCCCCTTAGAGCCCCGCTGCCTCCTTAGCGCCCCGCTGGCCCTATTAGCGTCCTGCTGGCCCCGTGCGCCCCACTGGCCCCGTACGCCCCGCTGGCCCCTTAACGCCCCGCTAGCCCCGTTCGCGCCCCGCTAGCCCCGTTCGCGCCCCGCTAGCCCCGTCGAACCCCGCTAGCCCCGTGCGCCCTGCCGGCCCCGTACGCCTTGCTGGCCCCATTATCACCGCTGGCCCCGTTAGCGCCCCGCTGCCCCCGTCGAGCCCCGCTAGCCCCGTGCGCCCCGCCGGCCCCGTCCGCCCCGCTGGCCCCGTTCGCCCCGCTGGCCCCGTGCGTGCCCCGCTAGCCCCGTTGTGCCCCACTAGCCCCGTGCGCCCCGCTGGCCCCGTGCGCCCTGCTGGCCCCGTTTGCCCCGCTGGCCCCATTAGCGCCCCGCTAGCCCCGTGCGCCCCGCTAGCCCTGTGCGCCCCGCCGGCCCCCCAGCTAGCCGGCCCCTCCCTCGCCGCCCTCCAGCACCACCGGCCCCTGCTCTGCCGGCCACAGCCCGCACCGGCCCCGCGCCAGCCAGCCACCGCACCGCTGTGCCACCGAGCCGCCGTGTAGCTGTCCTGCCGTGTCAATGCACCGCCGCGTCGCTCTGCTGCCCCCGACCTACCGGCCTTGGCTCCCTTCTGCACCGGCACATCTGCCGGCTGTCTCCACTGCTCTCCACCGCACTTCACCACACTCCACCGTTCTCTACCACCCTCCATTGCTCTCCACCGCACTCCACTGTTCTCCACCACCCTCCACCGCTCTCCACTGCACTCCAACGCTCTCCACCGCTCTCCACTGCTTTCCTTTGCCTTTCCTCCTCTCCCTATCAGCGGCAGTCATCTACTGCAGCCGTGGTGATGGCGGACTCACAGCTCCGCCTGGACGCGGAGGGTCGGACGATAGACTTAGAGGCGTGGCTCGTCAACCTCCGCCGCCACCTTACAAGTCAGTGTCAGGACGTTCACTCCCGAGCCGTTCATGTTGATGGCCTTCTTCCCCGCCCCACTACGCCTGTTGCCCTCCCTGCTGCCCCCACCACTGCTAAGCGTGAGGCCTTTTCTGCTGCTTCACTGGCTCGTGCTGTCTGGGACTCGCGCGACGCCGTCGCGCAGCTTGCTATTAGTTACGCGCTTCATCTGTCTGAGCGTCACCGCTTTACCACTGTCGCGAACGCCCAGGCTTTCTTAGATGCAGTCATTGCGCACTATTCCACCCCCGCCTCCACCTCTGCTGGCCGCCTGATCCTCCCAATGCTGTTCCCTGATCGTGCATCCTTCCCCACTGTCGCCGACCTTGCCACTCACCTCCGCGTGCTCGAGACTAGCTACCGCGGTGCTAGCACTGAGGCTCAGCTCACTGCCTTTTCGCCGCCGCTCTGCGCTACCCTTTATCTCATTGCAATGCGCCTCCCCGACCGCCTAGCCACAGCCCGCGACCACTTCTTTAGTCATCACCCGTGTGACCTCACCCTCCCCGCCTTTGTCACCGCCCTGTCTGCGATAGAGACTCGCCAGCGCACTATCGCTCAGTGCTCTAACGGTACTGCGACGGTCCCTATCTTTCAGGGATGTTCTCCCTCTCAGTGCTCTTAATCTGACGTCTCTGCTGCTGTTGTTGAGACCGACGTTGCGGCCTCAGTGCAGCCGCATCAGGGTAGGGGCTGCTGCCCCAAGGGGGGGCGTGGCGGAGGGAAAAGGGGTAGGGGTGGGGAGGGTGGAAGAGGTGGGGGGGGGACGGTGGTCGGACGAGGGGACCGGGGCTGGTGCCCCGAAGCAGCAGCCGCAGCCTCAGCAGCAGCAGCAGACTCAGCAACGGCACCAGCAGTCGCCGTGGGGTCCGCCGCCGTCGTGGTGGAATTGCGGTGCTGGTGGTGGTGGTCGTGGTGGTGGAGGGCGCAATTTGGTGTCGGGTGGCGGTTCTAGTGCGGCCACCTGTCAGTACCAGCTTCAGACTGGCCCCCACCGCGGCACCGTCTGCGACCGTTCCGACCACACCACCGCCCGCTGCTACCGCCGCCTGGACGACCTCTTCCATCACCGCTTCGGTCCCACGTCGGACCATTCTGACTGGTACGCCCAGGCTCGTCGCCGTGTGCCTGTCTTTGAGCTTGACATGGATCAGATTAGAACGGCTATGTCTGTCATGTAAACAGGCTCGACTCTGGTGAAACCACATTGCGCTCACGCCATTATAGCACTTGCTGACCCCTCCTCAGGTCCGGTAATAGCTCGTAGCTCCACTACCCTCCACTGTCCGGCGGTCCCCTCGGGCTCTCATATAGGCCTGCACATCCCCGCGTTCTCTAGGAACCTAGTTGCTGTCGGCCGTCTTCAGGACCTCAGCGTCACCACTACGTTCCCCGGACACGAGCAGTACACAATTTGAACCGAGGCCGCCACTGGTGCCCCTCTGACAACGTTCCCCCTGGACCCTGTGTCCAACCTGTTTACGCTTGACACTGCGTCCCCCCTGGTGAGGGCGTTCCCCCAGGTGCCTGCGGCCACCCAGGTCGCCGCGGCTTGCTCGTGTCGATCGCTCACTCGCCCATCGCTGCTGTGGTACCACCGCCTAGGTCACCTCGCACTCCCGCGTCTGCATCACATGTCCCATTATGGTATTGTCTTCGGTCTTCCTACGTCGCTCCCTGCCCTTCCCCCCTCGCCTGCTCCACCTTGCGTCGAGGGCCAACTGCGCCGTGCTCCTCACTCCTCCTTGTTTCCCCCTACCACTCCGCCACTCCAGACCCTGCATTTGGACGTTTGGGACCCAGCCCCGGTCCCTGGGCCTCCGCCACCGCTGCCGCCGCAGCAGCAACAGCCGTCGCCACCATCGTAGCCGCAGCAGCAGCCACAGTCGTAGAAGTCGCAGAAGCAGCCGCAGTCGCAGCAGCCGTCGGGGTCCGCGAGTTCTGGGAGAGGGGGGCGCTCGGGAGGGTGCTAGTCCTGGAGTTACTGTCGTGGCTTGTCCCGACGGTCTCGGGGGTGGCACCTATGCTAGAGAGGTTTCTCGTTCTGGGAGTGTTGGTTCTGGGGGTGCTAGTCCTAGGGTTACTTTCGTGGCTTGTTCCGGCAGTCTCGAGGGTGGCGCCGCTGCTGGAGAGGGTTCTCGTTCTGGGGGTGTTGGCGTGGAGTGTCTTGGAGGTAGTCATGGTGCAGCTCGAGGTTCTGGTATTAGCATGGAGCAGCAGCAGCAGCAGCCGCAGTCGCCGTTGGTATCCGCCCTTCGCCTCCTCAGCCCTCCCTCCCCTGACCTCCCACCTGCGCCTCCCCCGCCACCGCCTCCCCTTCTTGTCCACGGCCCTGTCTTTCCTCCGCCGCACTCGTCTCCGGCTCGTCTCCCCCCTCGTTCTCCTCTTGTGTCTCCTCCCCTGTCTCCTGACCCGACGCCTCCGTCTCATGTCTAGTCTCGCCATCCCTCGCGTGCTCGTCCTGTCTTCCCTGTTCTGCGCTCCCACCCTATGTTGCTTCGTTCCCACGCATCTCGTTCTCCCCTCCACGCGTCGCCTCCTCCGTCCTTGTTTGCTATCGCTCCGCCTCCCCTGTCTAACTACCTTCGTGCCGCTCGTCCTCTTGTTCCTCGGGTCCTTGCCTCTCTCATAAACGACCCGTCTGTTCCTGTCTCGAGTCTGGACGCGCTTGTCGCTGCCGTCGCTGACTTTGCCTCTACCCGCCACCTTGACTACGCCACCGCTCTGGTCTCTGACCCTGCTCGTCTTCCGTCTGTGAAGGGTGCTCCTGCCCTTGGCAGTGACGTGCTGGAGGACCGGC